TAACGCCACATATTTCTTAATAATAAAAAAATAATTGAACAACAATACAAAATGGCATTAAATCACCAAAACAAGCGTAGAAACCGATTACGCAGAATAAGACGTTTCCCTTGCAACTACCACCTCCGATATGCAAGTTTAGTTTTGTACTAAAAAAAGCTCAATTAGAAGAAGAAGCAATGCACGAGTACTTTTTATATGCACTTAACCGACACTGACTTTAAATTAAAAATTATATTAAGTTAAAAAAATGAAAAAATAAACAAGAAACGAGAACAAACATTGCCGCACTTAAATCTGCAGTCCAAAACACGCAATTTTTTTATTGTTTTTGCAATTTAACTTGATAACAGTTAACTGTTTTCATTAAAGCACTCATTTACTTGCTTATTTCACCATTGAGTATTAATAATAAAATCAATTAATAAATGCTTAATAATAATAACAATGCTCAATTTTAATATTTATTAATAATGGCTTTGGCAAAGAGTATTGAATGGTGTTTGCCTCTGGTGTTTTCTACATATTAACTGCTCATTAACTGCTCAATTATATGAAGTTGTTTGTTGTTGTACAACTCCTTTTACAAGCTTCGAACGCAAATAAAAGCCTCCTTAGTTTTTACTTAAAAGTTTTGTTTTTGTTTTTTGTGCTCACACGTATTAAAGCAAAGTTATGATCAAACTACTCACTTAATGCAGAAATTGCTTTAGCTCCCTTGCGTTACTCTCATCTTTTATTTAAATTTTTAATTGCAATTGCTCTGAGAGCAAATATTTATATTCAATATGAATGCATGCTTTAGACAACTTTTTTAAGAAAGCATCAGTTTCTAGAGTGAAGAGTACATATGGAGGAAAGAAACTTAGTAAAACTTAAATTAAATTTGAGCAAATCCAAAAGATTTCACGCAAAAGTTTTTATTAATGTGAGAGTTCACATTTCATAACTAATTGTACATTCGAAAAATAAGATCAGTTAGACGGAGGACCTATGGTAAAATTGAATACAAGTTCCATTTTTTGGAATAAAAAATATTTATGAATTTTAGGAAAATGTAGGCGAAACTTACACTGTCTGAATAAAGGATATAGATTCTGTGTATGTGCTCTCAGAATAAAAAAATTTTCTTTTATATATTTAGTCTTAAAGTCAAATATACAGGGCTTATTAGTTAGTACAGCTTCACACAACAAATAATTATCCGTAATATATCAACTAGTATCATCACTTTATTAGATATATATACAAATCCTTCTGCAAATACATACTTATATCCGAAGAATTATAAATTTTTTAGTATATAACCAAAATAAAGGTGCAATAAGAAAGTACACAGACTGATAGACTATAAGGCTAGAGACTATGCCGTTCACATTCCTCACAATCCATCAAATATTTGAACAATTTTAGAACTCAAAGATATCTGATATCTTCATTTCTTTTCGTGGAAATCTCACTGATTTTAATTGTTATATTTGAACCTTTTTAAGTTCTTTTAAAATCTATAATAAATCTGTAGTGCAAATACACTATGATTACTCAAGCCTCAAACTCTATCAGATAATGAACACTCTCAGAACTCAAAGGAATCTATCAACTTCATTTATCACCATTCTAATCCAATAATTTAAATGTCCCCAACACTTTTACAGGACTAAAAGAAATAATTTCAAGACGCGTCTTACATAAGTATATGTAGGTCACACATTTTTATTTAAGTATATATGGATATGTCACTGGGCATAGTCCATGTGCGCCTTTCTTTTAGCTCGTACTTAATATTACTTGTTGTCTTTCATTTTTAACAGACTGTAATAAAACAAATAAATTCCAATACAAATAAAAACCAAAAAAAATTATTTAAAGCGATTTGTATAACAAAGAAAAGACAAAAACAAAAATTTAGTTATTGGACTTGTTTACAATTAATTAAAAAGAAATTCGAATATTTCCTAAGACCACTAATGATAAGTACTTGGCAATACTCGAAACAGCGTTGTATCGTCAGCAAAATTTCAATAAATTAAGTAAATTTTTGCTCCTTTTGACAAAAATAATTAATTTAATAATTTTTAACCAAATTATTTTAATTATTGCAAATTCATTAGTAATGTAAATATAATGTGTGATCCACATTCCGCCGTAGGAACTACAATTATTGATCACGTTAGTTAAACTAGTCTAAAATAAAAACTTTAAGAAATCATAGAGTTTCTTTAAAAAGTTTGCTAAAAGTAAATAATATTGAATAATTTTTATTAAAATTTATGATAAACTTTTTGATTTTTACTGATGAACCAGGAAAGTTTATATAAACTCTGAAATTTATTCACTCATTAAATTTTTTTATACAGTGAAGTCAAGCAGAGCGCAGGAAGTTTTTCACTGAAATTATAATCAAAGAAAAACTTTATGTTCTTTGCGTGCAACCGTAAGTGCAAAGTTAAAGTAAATAATAAATTTGCATAATAAAACTTACGAATACCTTCATCAATTCTTCTTGAAATAATATCAGCTTTTTTATGCCCAGAACATTTCACTGCCTCACTGAGGCTCGGGTTAAACGAGGTCAGCAATATCAAACTGAGACAATTCAAACATTAAATTTATAGCACAGAAATGCCATGATGCCATGATGCCAGGAGTGCAGCATCAGCATCAGCATCAGCATCCGCATCAGGATATTCATATATATGTTATATACTCCAGTGATACATATGCCATGCACTTATGTACATGAGCACTTGTATAAATTTTCTTATAAAAGTAATCGTTTGACAAGTTGTACTTAAACAAAAACAAGACCAACAACAACAAAAACAACCACAACAACAAAAATCTAGGCGACAAAAATATACATTGCATAACTCTTTGAATTACTTGTGCGTATGCATATCTGGTACTTGGGTTTTTCTCTGTGGGCAATGCCAGACCATAAAGATGTAAACGCTCTACATATGCAATTATTTGCATTTTTCATATCTGCCGAGTTGGGCGGGCTCAGAACGAGTCTCATGCCTGGATGCATGGAATATAAACGGCTACTGTAAATGTGGCTGCATTTGGCCAAATTACAGTATTGTATATGTGGGAAATTGTTTGCGGAAAAACTTAAACATGTCCTTTGGTTGCTATTGTAATGTGAATTTAAAATGCGGCGGTAAAAAGAAAGTACACATGCTCTCCACACTGCAAATGTTCAACTTGAATTTGAAGTTGGACTGAAACATGAGTACCAAATACCAACGGCAACAACATCGCCAGTACCAGCAACAGCAACAGCACCAACAGGAACTGACAGTTTTGGGTATTTTAGTTGTAGTTGAGAATGAAGTTACAGGCTTCAACTGGAAGTAGTGCTGCATTGGCACAATGGCACCGTGAACGCAAAGTAATGTCGGACAATTTAAAATACTTGTGTGTAAAGCACAAAAAGCTGGGGGAAAACTAATGAATGTAAAACCTATACTTGGGGCTTTAAATGACGTACTCCTGTATGCTTGTACTCCCATATATACAAATGGTACATATGAGTTCTTATCGTAATTCATACGTAAAAATAATTAAGAAAAAAACTGTCCTTATTTCTTTGTATAACAAAGAAATAATCTAGTGTGCATATGAGACGTAATTCGGTACACAGTCTGTAATTATGAAAGGTTTAAGTAATTTTTTGTAACAAATCCTCTTATTTCTTATATCACAACTATTTAGATATAAAAGTACCAAAATTAAATGAAATAGAAAAATAAAATAAAAATAATATAATAGCAAAAGTCACAAAGATCGTAAATATGAAAGTAAGTAAAATACCTATAAATAACATAGAAATTTAAAAAGAAAATAATAAATAAATAAATTTATTATAAATTAGTTTCAAAATTTGTCATAGTTTCCTAAAAAATGAAAAACTAATAACCTTTGGCTTCATCAAAGTTTAATTGCTCTTCTGACAGAATTTGCAGAAAATTAATAATAGAAATTATAATAGAAAATAATAATGGAATTAATTAATAACAATTAATAATAGAATAATAATAATAATAATAATATATAGTATTAATAATTAATACTATATATGCTATAAAATTGGAAGCGACATAATCGAAAAGGTGAATCCTTTTTCCTACCTGTGCAGTATTATATCTGAAGGACACAGTTTCCCGCATAAATAAAGCGAAAGGCACATACACCCAAATACAAAACTTCGTAAAGAGATGCCTGACACGAATCGTAAGAGTTTGGTGGCCAAATGTCTTAATAAATGAAGACCTCTACCGAAAATCCAATTATGAACCAATAGGAAAGTTAATAAAGAATCGTAAATGGTGTTGCTTTGACCATACGCTACGTAAAGAAATATGCGCTACCGAAATATGTCGCCAAACATTAGACTGAAACCCACGTACTGAATTTCAATTATTTATCTTAATAAGTCATTATTAAAATATTGACCTGTTTATTATTTACCTTAATAAGTCATTATAAAATTATTGAGGTGCTTATAACCACTTATTTATATATCTATTCTAGCATATAAGAAACCACTTTTAATCATTTTTACTGAAATTCCTGGTCTATTTCGAAAAGGTGTTATAGACAAGACATCCCATTTCTTTGTATAAAACCTTAAATGATTATTACCATTAAGAGGGATATAAAAGCAAACATTTGAAAAGTTTAAATTAGAAAAATTTATTGTGTTATATATAATAGTACAGTCCGACAGAGTTAACCATTTACTAGTCGTATTAAATAACTACTCTGATGATGCATGTGGTATAATATAGTAGAAATATCGGCAAATAAATCGAATTTTTAAAGCAGATTTCCAACAACAATAGACAATTTAGTACATATAAAACTATTTTGATACTTATTTTTTGCATAAACTCAAAAAGTAAGATTTTTGAATATATATAAAAACACATATCTGCTCTTGAAAAACGTCAATTTTGACATTTATTACTGAACAACACTGTTTTGACGAAAATAACGAGACACGGAAAGTCTCATCACTCCGATAACGTAGCCATTAAATATATTTGTGGTAAAAGATACTGGAAATTGTGGTTACTACTATTATAAAGTTTGAAACTAAAATAAGGACGTAGTAGGTTTTGATATTTTTTAAAAATATAATGTAAAACTTTTTTGATTCAATTTTTTATTCTTATTTTTGAGATTGTGCTGTGTGAAAAACTTAAGAACTGAAATAAAGCAGCGGTACAATTTATTATAAAAGAAACTTGCATTGCAAATCTAAAGGAAAGGTACGTTGTATATTAAAAGGATATTTAAATTATTATAAAATTCATCTAATTCATTTGTGTTACTTCCGGTACTTTTGTATAAATGCACGAAACTTAACTTTTATTTGGGGAACAATTCATAAAATTTCTTCATATATTATTACAATTTTATATACTTTTTTTCTGTATATAATCTGTATAACTATATCTAAACAAGCTTTCGTATCTTTTTAAAACAACAAAACTCCGGAATGATTTACAAACTATCATCGTCTATTTTTATATACAATCACTTAAATTTAGTCTATATTCAAGTTGTCTTTGAGAAAACGTTGCTTTCTGGCAACAGAAATGGAAATAATATCTTCGTTATCATGGAACTTAATCGAGAACTAGAGTAATATTCAATAACAAGTCCATGTTTTCTATGTCTCTGATAACTGAAAATGCTTTGTTTCTGTTGCATTATGTAGACCTAAACGCTGTTCGTCAGCGTAGTAGTGTAGATTATAATTTATTACTCTGTATTGTATATTCAACCTCCTAAGAGCATACTATATGCATTTACGATCTTCGAACAATCAATAAAAGTAAATACTATTTATTATACTACTATTACTATGTGTAATATTAAGTGAATAAAAGCATATACTATAGTTCTGATGTCTTTCCGTTCAATATCGGAAAGACATCATTATCATCATTATCATATTCATTATCATAGAATTCATTTTAAGAATGAATGGTTTTTAGTTCTATGCCCATTCAATAAGTAGAGTGATGGTAGAGTGATGGCCTCTTTTTTTGATGGCTCTAATGGCAGAATCTGCGTTGTTTTTTTGATACGGTTTAATTTTCCGTTCAAAATCGGAAAGACAGACTAACGTCTGTTGTATATACTACCTACTAAGAGCTTTTTATGTACATTCTCGACCTTATTAAAATCGATAAAAATACAAAGTCGAAAGCTATCTTTCCATTCAACATTCCTTGGTGACACCGTCTCGTATGATTAAATACATAATTAGATATTTTATATATACATGTGATAAAAAAACTACTAAATATTTAATAAAATTTAAATTAATTAAATTTTAAATTTAATCTAAGAAGCTTTTGATTTTATTAAAAAAGTTTATCTTTTGAACTAAAGTCATAAAATTTTTTATAACCTTAGTTGTGTTTATATTTTTGCTACTAAGTGTAAAGTAATTATTACTAACATATTTTTATTATAAAATACAACGCAGTGCAAAAAAAAAATTAGGACAAAAAAGAATTGCAGATAAAGGTATAAAACTTGTTATGTTACTAATATTTTTGTTAAATTTTATATTTTCATTTGTCAATTTTTTATGATTTTTGACATAGATTGATTTCTTGCAAATGTATTTATCTAGTGGTTTTGCTTACTTAAACATATATGCCAATTGTTTCTGAAAGTCAGCAAATTTCTAATTTCTCTCATTTATATAGCCTGAGTTATAGCCTTTTATATACATGAGTACTCATCTATATTCAGCCAAATAATCAACAGAACAAATGCTAAATATTCTCCTTAGATGGTTATATATATTTCTTTTGAATAGCTGCAAAAGCTTTTGTTTCATAATATAAATGGAGTCTAGATTTCAGTCTAATATATATATATATATATATATATTAACAGTAGTTTTTGTATGTAAATGAATATGTAAATAATCTAAATTTTTGTATAAATATTGTTCTGAAAGATATGATCGTAGATCTATTTTGTTTCATTTCTTCATTTACATTTCACATTTATGACTTAACTTAAGTCTGATAAGAAAGAAAAACCGAACTCGTTTATATGTATCAAAGATTTTCAATTTCTAAGCTAGTTTTGGATGACCCAGACGCTCTTCATCCATCAAAAACACTCGACCAACACTCATTTAAAAGTTTTTAATATATTAAAATGAATTTCATTAAATTGAAACCTTAATTTACTCTGCATTATTTGATCAAAAAGAATGAGAAGAGGGATAGTCTGAAGAAGTTGAGAGATAGTCTACTTTACAATAATGCTTGACACTTCTCATCAGTTCTATTATTGGACATACAGTCGATGTTATAAATTTTATTACAAATTAATTACTAAGTAAATTTTATTAGTTTCATTCAGTTAATTTTTTTCATTTTTAAAATTTTTTTCCAAATATGTAATAACTATTTATACTTATGCTTTACACTTTTTACAATTATATATTAATAATCGCCATATATTTTTAATTATTTAAATATTTTTTCAACAGCACACAATCAAATTATTTTTTACAAAATTAACCAAATTGTGTAAAGTAAAAAATTAAATTGGATCATGCCGACTGGTGACGAAGTCCTCAATGCTCTTCAAGAGTTAGAAGTTCCATCTCCACCCGAAGATATAGCCAAATACTTAAAAAGCCATGGATATTCACGTATGTCATTCAAAAAGTTACTTTTGGAGGTGAAAGAGGCATGCGAAATTGGGGCAATGCATGGCTTCATTGAGGAATGTCGGGGACAGTATTTCAGCATTAAGCAAACTGCCGAATTGCTGGATTGTTTTGATACACAAATGATGTTACAGGATACTGCTGGTGTGCAGGAGAAAAGTCCACATTCGTCTGATATTACAATCAACAGTATTTCTGAAATACCGGCGTTTAGCAAGGCTGCCGCAATTCGAAAGAAACATGCGGCTACGAAACCATCAGTTGATCAACTTTTTGACTCATCAACAGAGATGTACAGCTTTGTTGATCCTACACCATCCGTTATAAGCGTTCCAAAGCGTGTACGAAGAAAAGTAAAGAAAAAACCTAAAAACAAGGCACGAAAAAGGCGCAAAACTGTACAAGTCGAACCCAGTGTGACAACAGGCTCAATCGAGTTAGCTGATGATGATGTTGCTGTCAGTGATGAATCAATACCTTTATCTGAGCCGTATGTTATGCCAGCAGAAACTAAACGCCGGTATTTAAACATCATAAAATCTTTAAAAAGCAAATCTACGCAACTACGGCTAAAAAAAGCTTTATTTGGTTCAACAGATAATGAATCAGAAGTTGATTATATTCCAGTGGTCACCGAGCGTAAAGCTAAGCCTAAGACAAAGCGTAATAAGAAGAAACGTGGTAAAAAAATTCACTCTTTTAAATATAAATCAGTAGGACACAAAGCACCTCTTAATAAGAAGAGGAACTTAAAGCCTAAAAAATCTACACGGAATTATAATCCTAATACAGAATCTGAATCACAATGTGAATGTAAGAGTGATGTTAATTCACCGGTTGCCGTACGTAAGACAAAAACTTATTCACTTAAATCAGTGAAATCTGTTCCTGCAAGGAAGATAACACGTGTCGCCAGTAAACTCATTGCAAAACAACCATCAGCGGATAATTTTGAAGAACCATGTACATCAAGTGCAATAGCGCAGACTACCATTGGGGAATCTGAAAGCAAGCTAAAGATGGTTCTCCGCTCAGGCCGTGAGTATTGATACCCCAGTCTTCAATACTTCCAGTTCATAGATAAATTAATGCTCGGACGAAATGACTTTGACTGACTCAAGACGGTGATATTTTTGGGTAAAAGTGCATATACTTGTAATCTCATAAATTAAGCAGTGTAATTATTTTTAACACTATTTTCATAAATTACTTGTATTTATTTTGTTATAACAAACTAAATTTTTATGTATTGAAAATTTTAAATACCTTTACCAATAAGTGTTTCCATAAATTATTTGTATTTATTTTGTTATAACAAAATTAACTTTTATATTTTGAAATTTTTAAAAAGATGTGCCAATAAAATTATATATATATATAAAAATTATATATTTTTATATATATATGTATATATAAAAATTATATATTTTTATATATATAAAAAGTTAACCTTTACCTTTTATGCTATTATTTTTTAATAGACTAAACTTTATATTTATTTCAAATACCTCATATTTATGTTTCAATTACTCGTAATAAAAGATATATATAAATATATAAAATTGTAAGTACCAAACTTTTGACCAAAGAGAAATTTGTTCAATAAAGTTGCTAATAAGGATTTCATGTCTATAACCGGTACACATTCACCTAATTGTGGGTCTAATCTTGACATCTGAGAACACCAACAACATAGCAATAATTTATTATCATAAATCCTAATAGATTTGCAAATGGTGGTGAAGATTGTCTTTAATGAAAGTTAATCGGAAATATTAAAACTTTTCAGTATTATGTCGATAATGTATCTAACCAAACTTCCTACACGGAAATCTGAATATAAGTTCGCCGACTTGATTTACCTAAGCACTCTGATTTGATCTTCAGAGTATTAACTTATCTATAATGATAATGGCGTTGCCAACTCAAAAAAGTTTGTTACGTTTTTAACTAATTGTAGCAGTCTGGCAACTTTTTTTCACGGTGCAATTTTAACCCATTAACCACGACTCATCTAAGTATTTTTGCTTTGGTCTTATCAATGCTGGCACTGGAATACTTCGCCGTTTTTGGGGCATGCAAAATAGCAACAAATGCCCTGTGAACAGCTCTATAAGTAGCTCTGTAAACAGCCCTGTAAACCGCACTGCAAGCAGTCCTATGAACAACTTCATAAACAGCTCTCTGAACAGCTCTGTGTGCAGCACTGTGAACAGCTTTGTAAGCAGCCTTGTGATCAGCTCTGTAAGCAGCCCTGTGAACAACCGTGTAAACATCCCTGTGAACGGCCCTGTAGCAGCCTTGTGATCAGCTCTGTAAGCAGCCCTGTAAACAGCCCTGTGGCAACCCTCTGAACAGCCTTATAAGCAATCCGAACAGCCCTTTAAGCACCCCTGGTAACAGCCTTGTAAGCAGCCCTGTGAACAGCAGTCCTGTTAGTAGCCCTATAATTAACCCTGTGAACAACTTTGTAAACAGCCCTGTGAATAACTTTATGAACAGTCCTGTGAAAAATTATAGGTTTTTGACAAGTTTTTCTTCTTAATATATAACAAATATTAATATATGCCCTGCATATACAAATATATGCCCTGCATATGATCCTAACTAAATTGAAATTCATGTAGGTGTATCTGCATTTACACTATTTGTTTGTCCAAATATGGTTCCGTATTAGTTAAGCTCTGAATTTATCGAAATGTCTAAAGAATGTCAGAGTAAGTCTTCTCATGTAAATCCTTTATCAACCATTTTATTACTATCCATGTACATACAACCGGGCACCTAAAAGTTTAGCACTTTTCTTTGTGCCACTGAGTCACTTATTGCATTTCTGCACTCTACAACTATGTTTTTCTTAAATTGGACATAATGTTAAGTAAGTCAAATTTTTTCCTTAATTTAATTTAGCTTTTAAACCCATTTATAATGGAATAAAATAATTTTCTACTAAAGAAATTAAATGAATAAGTAAATACTGTGAAATATTTTAATAATATAATGTAGCCTCTCTAACATAACATATATATAACATAATATAATAATAATATAATAATTATGATATTTTGATAAATATCAGAAATATTTAAAATCAGAAACCTAATTGCAATATTTTTATCTTAATGGCCTAAAGTCTCACTATGCCAACAAAATCACAAGTAGGCACGAATCGAAAAGGATATTTCAGTACATTTTTGAATGTTGCCATATTCACAATAAAAATAAATAAAAATACAAACGAATGCACACATACATACAAGCACAGAAATATTCTTATTCGCATATACATATGTGAATGTGTTCATTATTATGAGCAATCAAAATAATAACGGCAAACGAGGATCTACAATAAAAATAATTGCCAGGAACCTTGGTGCAATCCTTTGCCGCACAATTTTTGTGGCATAATACGCGTTCATTTGTATCCTTTTTTTTACTCTTTGTTATTTTATTTGTTTTGATTTTTTCTGCCATTTTATTTATATTTTTTTTTATTTTTGTATATATTTTTATACACATCCTTATTTAATTTTTTTTTTTGTTTTTTGTTTTCTGATACCCGCACATTTTGGCACACTTTTTTTTTGTTGTTGAGCCACAATTTTCCCCCATTTTGCTGTCATTTTTCTTTATTTATGAAAGCTTATTTGCCATGAAAATTGTCGGAGGTGCTGCAATTGCTTCAATCATTTTTTTCTTCTTATTTTCCCTTTATTTCTGGTATATTTTTCTGTATTTTCATTTTAACAAACAATGCTCACCGGAATTAAGGATGTCTATACCTTTCAGTTACTGCCAATTGCTCTATGTTCACGTATTTATTTACAGGCACTGCCGTTGCTAATGTTTATTTGTGGAGGGATAAGAGTTGCTTGTGGATGTATATGTGTGCGTTTTTGTGTCTATGTGTGTGAGTTTTGTAGTTTTGGTATAATTTACCGCAATTCATTGTTTAAGTTTGTGCGCTTAATGCTTAATCATTGTGATTAACTGTATTATGAATTGCCGGGCATAAGGCGGAAATCAACTTTGGTCTGAGTAAAAGCCATTAAAAGGCAAAATATGGCTGCTTTGAATATAATGCCTACTAATTTTGGCAAAGAAATTGTAATGAATCATTGAAGTTATTAGCACAGCAATAACAACAACTATGGTATATACTCTCATATAAATAATAAAGTACGCTTATAATTATGATCAAATATTACTTTAATGAGGTCATTTTATATAAAAATAGAAAGTCATATTTTTTCATTAAAAAGGATTATCAGTATGTTGAAATGAGAAAAAGTATCCAAAAATAATATAATCAATATATAAACAATTATTTATGGTCATATGACATATGAATTTTATTGTGATATTTAAAGAATAAAAAAAGATGTTTTTTTTATAAAATTTTTTAAATCCATTTTTCGAACTGTTTATTAAAATATAGAGGAAGATATAGACAATAGAACAAAGAGGATGATGTATCGTAATCCTGATGATGACTCGGAAGAAAAGTCGCAATATAGAGTATAATAAAAATATTAAAAAAAAATACAAGTATTATAAAAAAACATTTTATATTTTTTTGTATAACAAAAAACCACAACTGACCAAAAAACGTTTTCAGCTAGTTTTTCGCATTTTGCAATTATTTAAAACAAAAAAAATAATAATTGTAATTGTTTTAATAAAACACAATTAGAATATAATTACAGTACAATTACAAAACAATTACAATATAATTACAAAACAATTACAATACAATTACAATTACAATTAATTACAATTACAAACAATATTTATAGTTTCTAAGCATTTTTTTTATATTATTATATAAATTATAAATATTTATTTACTACATAAATAAATATTGGTTATGTTAAAATGCAATACCTTTTTAAACACGTCAGCAATGTCAAACAAGTTAATTCCATTAGATTTCACTTTACTGAGAGCTTTCTTCATAGTTAGAAAAACACTTCCTTGCGGGAAGTGAGTTCCTTCTTGTTATCAGTACTTTTTAGTAAGAATGATATTTTAGCAATAACTACATTTTTAGTAGAAGAAATAATCTAATTTAAGTACAGCAGATAACAAAGTCACATGTTTTCAAATTTTAGTCAAAAAGAAGAGTTTTTCCAAAACTTAGAACTACTATAACTTCCAGATTTGCGAGAAGACACCTAAAAAAAACTCCTGAATTAATAATATATTCATACCTTTGATTCTAATTACTACTAACAACATAAGACTTATCAAACACATTATTATGGATTGTGTATAATGTAGGGATAAACGATTGAAGTGTAACCAACTACATACAGGTATATCTATCAAACTGATATTGTCAATTACGTTAAACCCATACAAATGACAGCTGCTTATATTGTTGTCAAGCTACTACAAGCTACAAGCATTTTCTTCTAAGTTTTATAGAACAAAATTTATTTGAAACTGAAACTTAAACTTAATAGTGTGATTGGGTTATATGGATTCTATAATTTTAATTATTTCCACAAATGTTAGTAATTTAATCAATAAAAAATAATTTGACACAAAAAATTTATGGTCGCTTGAATCAATCAATCGTCTAATCCTGTGAAAGAGATTTCATTTTTTTAAATCACTAATTTCTTCCTGATTTATTAAAGCTAAGTTATCAATTCCTACTTCCATAGTTGGTGAAATATCTCTTACCTTTCTATTAATTTACTCCTTATTTTTTTCCTTTACAAGTATTCCAGTATTAAGCATAAATTGAGGCTCTAAAAATTTTACAAAAGCTTCAGCATTTTTCTCTTTAGTGTAGCATCAACCGTTGTAATCACAAATGTGAAGTATTAAGGATAATGTTTTTAGGTACACTCTACTCAATTAGGTAAGAAAGTCGTTTCCATTCTACAATTATCATAATTATAGACAAAAAAATGAGCATATAAGAACTCCCGGACTAATGGTGGATTGCAACAATATTTGTAGTTTTTAAATAATGGTTTGTATTATAAATATAAAAAAAATATTGTTCGTCGTTTACTTAATATTTAACAACTCTTTTTAGACTACACGGCCTCGAGTTTTGGCGACAAAACCGCTGAATTTCGACAAGAGTGATCTTGAGCTTTTAGAAGAGCAGTTCGATCATAATAAAGTTTTTGTACTTTTTACTGATCCCAGCATTTCAAATAAAGATCACAATATCTCCCATTGAGAAATTCATAAAATCGATTCACAT